TCTGCACAAAATAAAGCAATAAAAATTTTCACCGCACACCACCTTTAAAAATACCAACTTCAAAATCGTTTCGAAGCCATGTGACATAAGTTAGTATGCGCCTTTAAAAGCATTACTGTATTACATTTTCATGAATTTTGATTGTATTTTTCCATTTTTTTCAGTTTTTTTCTCGAAATTCAAACCAGAAGACAAATTAATGAACGGATGATTCAAAAACCTGTTCCTCAATGTAATCAAAAATAGTAACCTTGCTGTAAAACAAGGAAAAATGCATCAAGATCAATTTCCGCGATGTTTTTTTGTTTAAAACAATGATTAGTCATCAACCTTGACATTGTTTTCTGTGTCCATTCACTTTCAAACCCCCCTCTTCTCCCGTTCCGCTAAACATAGCAAACGCGCTCTGCCGTTCTACTTTTTTCCTTTCAGACAGCTCTCTGCCTCTCGGCTCACGCGACTTACCGGTTCTCTGTCTCTGGAACTCTAGCCAAAATCAATTTTTGATGGGTGCGTTGCTAGCAGCACCGTTTTGCGCAGCTCCGGTAAATGAAGATCTCTGAACTGAATATCTCTGAAAAGTGAATTTCCAGGCAGCGTGCTGCTTCGGAAGCGCCGCGTGCTCACTCTGCTGCTCAGCATGTCCGGGAGCGAAGAATTCGACGACGACGAGGATCATGTACGCGTTAATGCTGATTTCAGCGACTTTCATCGCTGTAATGATGCTTCTTCCCGGTGTTCAACAGAAATTAGTTGATGTAAGGATTAGCAATAGAAAATCAATATTTTTTTAATGAATTTCAGAACAAATGGTTATGCGACTATGCGGGGGTGAATTGTCAGCATGCGATTGGATATCAGGCAGTATACAGAGTTTGTGCAGGAGCCGTAAGCTTCTTCTTCCTGATGATGATTCTGATGATCGGAGTTTCTTCATCTAAAGACGGTCGTTCTTCAATTCAAAACGGTTTCTGGTTCTTCAAATACATTTTGATGTTTGGAATTATCACCGGATACTTTTTCATCGGAAGTGAAAGCCTTGCTACTCGTTAGTCTTAAAATTCGAAATCTCAATGAATTATATCTTTTCCAGCTCTCATGTACATCGGAATGCTCGGCGCTTTCTTGTTCATCCTTATCCAACTGATTCTGATCGTTGACTTTGCTCACGGACTCGCCGAATCTTGGGTTTCTCAATACGAAGACAACGACTCTCGTGCTTGTTACGCCGGACTTCTTGTCACCACATTCGGAGGATTCTTGTTATGTCTCATTGCCGCTGGATACGTATTTCTAAACTACGCGATTGGAGATGGATGTGGTCTTCCGAAGTTCTTTATAATCGTCAATGTTCTTATTTGTGTTGCGATTAGCATTCTTTCGGTTTCTCCAATGGTTCAAGAAGTGATGCCACGTTCTGGGCTTCTACAAGCAGTTGTTATCAGTGGTTACATCATTTATTTGACATGGTCGGCGCTGTTGAGCAATCCCAGTGAGTTTCAGTAAAAAAATGTTTTGTTCTAAAGCTGTGGAGAAGAAATCTCGGTGGCCGTTGCCGAAGGTCCCACAACGGCAACTATCGTAACCTATAAATCTTCATTTTCATTGTTCCTTTTTCTAGGTTTTCATGTGTTTTCAGCCATTTTTTTTCAAATTTTTTGGAGAGAAACAACAGAAATATCGACGAAAATCAGTGAAAAACGTGAAAATAAATCCGGAAAATAACAATTTTTCGGGTTACGGTAGTTGTCGTTTTGGGACATTAGGCCACGGCTACCGTTTCTCTTCCACAGATTCAACTTTTATAGGTTACTGTAGAAAACTAACTCACCTTTGTAGTTTTTCTGTCTGCATTTTGACGCGATTGTGTTTGCAAGAAAAAACTACAAAAAAACTAGTTTTTCTACAGTAATCTTCTTTCCAGAACACTATTCCGTCAAATTTCAGACAAAAAAAACTGGAAAAAATTGAAAAAGAATTTTCAAAAATAGCTGAAAAACCTAAAAAAGTCTAAAAATTTCGCAAAAAAATCGAAGAAAAAAAATCAATTTATCTCACTCAAGAATTTGCTTCAAAGAGGGAGTGACAGAATAAAAAACTAAATTCATTATTCCAGATGAATCATGTAACCCAACTGTCGCCAATATCACCCAATCAACTATCACCACTGGAACCAACAACAAGATTGATGACACCTTCGTAACCCCAATGCCAGTCCACTCCCTTATCTCTCTGCTCATTTGGCTCGTCTGTCTTGTCTACGCCTCTATTCGCAATTCTTCCAACACATCGCTTGGAAAAATTACAGGAGATACCGAAGAGCATGCTCAGCTCAGTAAGTATATTTCGAGTTCTCCATCCAACTCCAATTTTCGATTCCAGATGACGTCGAAGGTGGCAAAGCATGGGACAACGAAGAAGAAGGTGTCGCCTATTCGTACAGCTTCTTCCACTTCATGTTCTGTCTCGCTTCTCTGTACGTCATGATGACGCTGACTTCCTGGTATCACCCTGATAGCGATTTGGCTCATCTCAACTCGAATATGGCATCGGTCTGGGTCAAAATCGTCTCCTCGTGGATTTGCGCTGGACTCTACTCATGGACACTTGTCGCACCGCTCGTCTTCCCTGACAGAGAATTTTAATAATATTGCTTCTGATCTTGTAATCTGTATATTGACCCCCTGACTTTTTACACGCTTTCTCTTCTATCCTGATCCTCATTGTCACAATCTTGTATAATATTCCGTTTTCTCCTCGATAAACATAAACAACTCTTGAGTCAAAAGTCGTGAAAGAGAAGTAACAAAAAAAGATGAGCTCATCGACCAAGATTGTGTAAATTGAACGAAATTCAATTTGTTTGGGGGAAAGGGGATGGAGGTCTAGGAGCAATGAGTTGACACTTTCGCATTTTCATTTAACTAGTTCGTCTGCTTAGTTCTGCTCAAAAAAATGCATGCATCGTGTAAGTTTGTCGAAAATTCCGATTTTCAAAAAACCGGAATTTTTTAAAATTAAACTTTTAACTTAAAAATCGCATTTTCAGATCACAAAATCGCAAAAAAATTGGTGGAAAATTGCCAAAAAGTTCGAAAATGCAAAAAAAACTACTGTAAAATAGTTCCGCTCGAAACCGCTAGAGAACTTTTCGCATGCGCCTTTGAAATACCGTAGTCTAAAATCTATTTCTTTTCCGAAAAATTCCGAAGAAAACTCAGAAAAAATCCGGTCAGAATTTGAAAAAAAAGCTTCGAAAGAAAAATTTTCCGGTCGGAATTCCATACCAAAAATAGTCTTAATTTGAGGCGGCGTGGCAAAATCAGAATATTATAGATTTTTGCCTCGTTTCGACGTTTTTCGCGAAAAAAGTTTGGTTTTTCAATAAAAAATGGATTCTAGAGATGCTAGCGATCATATTTTCACCAAAAAAAATCTGAATTCGGTCCAGAAAATCCCACAAAATTTACAGAAATTAATTTCGCTCATGACAATATCGGATTTGGGGGCGGGGCCTCGTAAATCAACACGAGCATCGTTTTTTGTGGTTTTTTGATTTCATTTTTTTAGCCCAAGCCTGGAATTAAAAAAAAAGCCCAGTCAAAAACTACTTCTCCTTCTTTGTTGAATCAGTTGTCTTCCTTTATTTTTAGCTCTCCTTTCCGTGAAATCATTTTGAAAGAATTCTCTGTTCTTCAAGCTAAAATGATTGACAATAACTGTCTTCGTTCGTCATCAGAATCCTTTAAAAACAACTACTTCTCATGTTGACACATATTCAGAAGTCCTTCTGAAGAGGGGCCGGCCCACCTCTCCTTTTTTGATACATTTTTTTGAGGAGGACACATCTTCTTCTCCAGATGAATAAGAATGTGGAGAAGGACCAAACATCTTTTTTCACCCGAGAATCGAGTCAAGTTAACACTCTAGTATGAGGCTCTATTTCCCACGAGACGAATGCGTGGGAGCGAGAAAAGGGGGGCGGAGCTTGGAAGAAGAAGGACACACAATTTTCTTTTATCTTATTGACATCTTTTCTCAAGTTTTTTTGTGTGAAGAAGGACCACCTTATTCAGACATTCATGTGACTGGAAAAGAGATGGAAGTTTCTTTGTGTTCATTTATTTTTCAAGTTTGTTTATTTTTATGTTTTTGCTTTTTTCAAGCATTTCCTAGAAGCTTCTTCTAGAACCGCATTTTATGGGAGTTCTGACCGCCCTTTTTAGCCTCGTTGGGTTCTCTTTAATTGCCTAAAAGCGTCATTTCGATCTCACTTGCACTCAGTGAGTGCTCATGTGACCTCCATCTTCTGAAAGTTGAAAAATTAAATTAAAACTCCAAACTTGAGACTATAGTGTTCAATTCTTTTTCAATTGTTTCTTCTCCTAGAACAACACTTGAACTCTGAGCATTCCGCCTTTTTTTTAGAGCATGTGTTCTAGACTAACCATCATGGGTTTTTCCGTCATTCTATTTCTGTCCCATCAAACAAGATTTTTGAACGAGATTTAAATTTCGAAATATGTACTTCTGAAGTTTTAAAGATTAGAGAAACGAGGGGACGTCAGACAAAAAATCTGGAATGGAGCAGATACCGTATTTCCTCTAATAGAAGCCCGCCTCTAATAGCCCCTCCTCCGAAGTGCATAAAACATAGAAGCGCACCTTCTAACAGAAGTTCATGCAGTTGAGTTAGTGCAGTTTGAACAATTCGGTTTGTCTATTCCGGTTATTGTAGACATCTTCTTTCTATTTTAAGAAATTTATGGTAATTTTAGTTTTTGGCAATTTTCTAAAAAGGAGGTTGAACAATAGAAGCCCATGGGCTTCAATTAGAGAACATACAGTATCTCCAGATTCCTGATTTCGTTTTTCGGATTCCAGATTTTATCTGATTTGTGGATTCCGGATACAGTTAATTTTGTTTCAGAATCCGTTTTTCGGATTTGAGAAAATTGGTGTATTCCGAATTTCCAACAAGCAGTACCAGTCAACAAGATATACAACAACGTGTTTTTCAGTTGATTTCAAGCCACTTTGACCAATTTCACGAGTCTGGATCTCGGCTGTCAGGTTTCCGATCACTTTGAAAATTTGAGAGGGTGTAAAATAGACTTATATTGAAATCTTTGCATTCACAGAATTTTTCAAAAATTCCTAGTTTTTCAGCTATTTGCCGATTTCTGAAAGACACCCATTTTTCACGTTCGCAGTACAATAACGGACCGAAACTCGGCAAAAAGCTGAAAAACCCAGGAAGTTTCAAAAAAAATGCTGCGAATGCAAAGTTTTCAGTCTATGTCTGTTTTATAACCTCAAAAAATTTCAAAGTCTTTAAGGACATTTCTTGAATTTACCAAAAAATAGAAAATTGTTCCAGAAACGTTTGCGAAAATCTCCCCAAAATCCAACTTTTCCTAGAACCCCATAACCCAATAGGGACACATTTTTCAGCTCCACCCCCCACTACCCAGTCTAGTAGTCTATGATTCAAAAACATGCTTTCGTTTTAAGGCATTGCTCATATAGTTAGTTCATCTTCCAGAGATGAGAAATTCAAATCCCTTTTATGATTAAACTCCATCGAGGAGGCCCTACCCCGTCCAACTTTTTCAATTATCTTCCCTTTAAATTGCATTGAGTTTTTCATAATTCATAATTCATAATTTCTCTTTCTCCAACTGCTCTATGGTCTCGTTGTATTGTTTTAGGTCTTTGAGTTTCGAAAACTGGAACACCAGCTGTTTTTTGAACATTCTGGAATATCCACCAGACGTGATTGTTGATTCAGAGCTCAGATGATGACGAACCCTTGAGTCATGATTCAATTATATCTTTCTCGTAAAACTAGAAAAAGATTTCTCATCTCTCAAAAAAGAAATTGATATTTTCTTCCTTCCAAATTTAGAACTTGAACCCATTCAACCATTCGATTTGGTCTACCTAGAATCTCTCTTCTTCTTCTTACTCAAATACACAGCACATTTCCTTTTCCTGTTTTCAAAAATTCCATTCAAAAATTTCCCCCGTCTTCCTCTTCTTCCTCTTCTTTCCTTACTCATTTTATTTCTCGCATACATATTTTGTTTAGGTGATGTGATTATAATTTATGCTCTTGGTGTTTCGATCCCCATAGTTGTGATTGAAAAACATCTGGAATTTTAAAAAAGTTGGTAGAAAAATATCATTGACTTGACATCAGAAGAAGTCATCCGTTGAAGATTCTGAGAAAGTTTTCAAAGTTTATCTACCGTACTTTCTCTAATTGCTCACTCTTTATGTACATGCATTTTCAGCTCAATTATCTCGGTTCCTATCAGAGGTATCAAAAATTTGCAAACAAATAAATTGTTGCTGATAATATGAAAAATATTTTATCAGTTGACCGCTTTTTGATACCTTATACTGAGATCGAGATAATTGAGCTCAAAGTTGAGGTGCAATCCGTTCAACTTTGGACAATCTTAACAGTACCTAAACTTAAGGTATCTCTTTGAAAATTAGAGTAACTTTGAATCGAGTATAAAATTATAATTTTACCAATTTTCGTGCTTCCAGGATACTCATGTCTAAAGATATACCCGTTTTTATCATTCCGGACCACCCTGTATTATTAAGCGATTACCGTAAAACCTGTAATATAACGCCATGGCGTTCTATTTTGCGAAGAGGTATTTTGTGTTAATCCGAGTCTCGGATTATCCGCGGTAACAAAAATTGATTTTTTACGCGTTTAACAGGGTACCAAAATGAAAAAATGGTGCAAAATTTCTATATTTCACTCACAGGTCAAATGCGAAAGGACCCGTTACGGACTCTCCGCATTCGCGCGCGGTTGAAATAGGAATCGTATGCGGACCGTACGCGAATCGTTTCCAGCAAAACACAGCACATTATTGCGGGTTTCTCCGCATTCTGTCCGTTCGCGAACTCTG